GGGAGAGGGAGAGGGAGAGGGAGAGGGAGAGGGAGAGGGAGAGGGAGAGGGAGAGGGAGAGGGAGGGAGGGAGGGAGCTGGGGAGGCAGGGAGGGAGGGAGGTGGGGAGGCAGGGAGGGACACAGTATTCAGTCACGTTGTAAAATTAGTAACATATACCCATGTGAAATTCTTTCACCGTAAAGTGGGGTTAATACTTTTGGGGTTTCTTTGTAATTTTATGTCTCCTAGGTATCAAAATTGTGGTTTCAGTTGGTTGTGTTTCATAATGAAAAAATCTACATGTTACTTCCAGTTCATAATATACTTTCTATATATGGTTAGCAACTTAAAATTGTGTACAACTATTAAACTATGGGAAAATTCATGTGAAAGCACCCCATACCCCATATTTTTTCTTCCTGCTGTTTTTCACCATATGTAGCATAAATGAATATGTTGGATCATTTCTTTTGTGTAACCAGGAAGTACTCCCCGCTATTGGCATTACTGCTGCACCCATTATCCAAAATAACCTTTGGGACAGAGAAGAAGCTCAGCAAATATTTACTTAATTCAGCATAGAATAAAACACAAAATTGTGTGGATTTTTCACCTATTGTAAATGTTTTTTTCCTTTGTTAATATCCTATCTATTTTATAATAAGCTGATAAACAAGACAGCATTTTCCTCGGTAGCAATTCTCTAAACCATCTTTTTATTAAAGGAAAAATACTAAGGCTTGTCAAGACCTTGCCTCAGCTTCCTGAGACAACCACTACTCCTAGCTTCAAATTTTTCCATTTAGACAGAAGCTTCACATGTCTTTTCTATGCTACTGTAATAGTCTGCAAACATTTTTAATTGTGCTATATTAACATGAAAGTCTCAATAAAAATAAAATTAACAGGTATAGGTCACTAATCCAGGCAAGAATATCAAAACAAACAAACAAACAAACAAACATTTACCAAGCTGTACTGGGAGCATTTATTACAAGAGCACATCTTAGGTCTCTGTCCCCAGGTCCCAACCCATAAGGAAAGTCATATCAAAATGAAGGTCCTCCACAAGATTACGTGCTTGGTATTTCTTTCCTTTCATCTCTCAGAGGTTTGACATTTGACCTGACACCGTAAGATGACATCACTTTCTAGTAACATTCCTAACAGAGAGACCAGAATACATCTGGTTTATAAAGTGAATTTAAGAGTAACCAGGATCAGACTGGTTCAGCTTAGATTAGCAATGCCCATCACTCGATCCAATTGTTTGAAAACACAGAGGGACCTGAGTTGTTCAAAACAAACTGAACTTTGATCCTATACCTATGCTGAAAAGAGATACTTTCAGAAAATGTGAGGTGGGCTAAACAAATGTCACAGAAGGAATCTAGCTTTTTACAAGTTTAGAGAAAATCTAAAAACATTTTTAACAATATTGATATGTATTACATATTGGGCATTCATTAAATCAGTAAAAGTCTTGACATTTCAGAGGTTTGACATCCCCGATTTATACTGCTGTACAACAAAACCATGCATTTTCCAGACACCCTAAATATTCTAGATAGGAAATCATAATATTAGATTAGACAGAAGATACTCTTATAATTCATTACATATGTGTCACATTTATCTTCAAAACATGAATGTTTCCAATTTTTTTTCTGGATAACAGTCAAATAGAACGAAGGTGAGGATTTTCAAATCAAATGATTAATTTTGAGAATTTAACAATGGAAGAAACTGTGACTTGTCAGTAATGAGTAAAGCTCTCTGTCTTCATCAGGAAATGATTTTTAAAAAAGAGACCAACCTGAAAGGATATACATGAAAGTTATCATCTCCTGAATTAGTAAAATAAAGGCAAAACGTTAGAAGCTCCTCATGACGATAAAACAACAGAAGACAAGAATGCTTAAAAAGAACCAGGGTTCATCAGGAATCACGACAAGAGGCAACAAATTGCTAATTGTATCCAAACCATTCATAAAGGAGGAATTTTCTTTCATGCAGTTCACAGCCTGATCAAGGTTGGGAGACAGGCTTTAGGAACCGAATATCTTTGGAATCCGACACTCCTGTCAGACACACCTCATACTGGTAGCTCTGGGACAGGGTCCCCGCACCGCTGAAGTCCACCAGGTGGCCAGGAAAGTGGCCATCAGGTTCAGAATAGCCACCCAGAGAGGCCGCCCTGGCCCTCCTGCAGAGCCTCACCCCCACGAACAACAGCACAGACAAGAGGAAGAGAGAAGAAACAGAAGCCAAGGCAATGACCAAGTACAGTGTGAGCGCATCCTCATCCACGTGTGTGGGGTCGCGCGCCACCTCTGGCAGAGGCAGGTAGGGCTGGGAGAAGCCATCTACCACCAACAGGTGCAGAGTGACACTGACAGAGCGCGGAGGCTCGCCATTGTCCTTGACCAGCAGCACCAGCCTGTGCTTGGGCACATCTCGCTCGCTCAGCAGCCTGGTGGTGCGCACCTCGCCATTGTGCGCCCACACGCTGAACAGCCCAGGCTCCGTGGCCTTGAGCAGCTGGAATGACAGCCAGGCGTTCTGTCCAGAGTCGCGATCCACAGCCACCACCTTGGTGACCAGGTAGCCAGGCTCCGCAGCCCTGGGCAGCAGCTCAGTGCAGGGTGCAGAGGCATTCTGCAGCGGGTAGAGCACGAAGGGCGCATTGTCATTGTCATCCAGCACCACCACCTGCACCAGAGCCTGGCTGCTGAGCGCGGGTGAGCCTCGGTCTGTGGCGCTCACGCGGAACTCGAAGGACTGCAGGGTCTCATAGTCCAGCGCCCTTAGTGCAAACAGCTGCCCATTGTCTGTGTTGATGGAGATTAGTGAGGTGAGGCCCAGCTGTGGATCTTGGGGTGGCAGCAGCGAGTAGGTGATGTGGGCATTGGAGCCTGAGTCTGAGTCTGTGGCACTGATGGTGCCTATGTGCAGGACGGGGCTGTTGTTCTCATGGACGAACATGGTGTAGGATGTTTGGGTGAAGACAGGGGCATTGTCGTTGATGTCGGAGACGTGCACTGTTATGGTGTGCTGGGTTGTGAGCCTGGGTTTGCCCAGATCGGAGACAGTGATGGTGATATTGTACTCAGCTCTGCTCTCTCTGTCCAGTGGATGCTCTGTTACTAGAGTGTAGAAATTTTTGAAAGTAGGTTTTAAGAGAAAAGGGAGTTTGTCCTGAATTGAACACTCCATTCTCCCGTTTTCTCCAGAGTCTTGGTCCCGTAAACTGAAAACAGCAACCACCATCTCTGACAAACCGTTCTCTGGGATAGGACTCATAAGAGATGTAATGACTATTTCTGGTGGGTTGTCATTCACGTCTGTAACCTGAACAATAACGACTGATTTTCCAGAGAGACCGCCACCATCAATGGCTTGAACATTTATTGTATAAGACTGAATTACCTCAAAATCTACGAGTGTTTTCAAATGGACTTCACCAGAGATTGGATGGATTTCAAATGTCTTTTGTACATCTCTAGAGATATGAGAAAATGAATAAGATATTTCTCCATTTATTCCAGAATCCAAATCTGCAGCAGACACCTTGATTACCAGTGAGTCCACAGAACTGTTTTCTGGTACTTGGACCTCATACAGGGGTTTGTCAAACTCAGGGGCATTGTCATTAACATCCAGAACCACAACTTGAACAAGTACAGTCCCTGACCTGGGCAGAGACCCACCATCCATAGCTGTTAGTATTAAGCTAATTGAAGCCTCCTTTTCTCTGTCCAGAGATTTAGCCAGTACCAGTTCTGGATATCTTCTTCCTTTACCACTGTCTTTTAACTTAAGGTAGAAATAGGGGTTGGGACTTATCGAATAGTTTTGGATACCATTCATCTCTATATCCAAGTCCTGAGCATTTTCCACTTGGAATGAGGTTCCTGGAATAGCACCTTCTGAGATATTTAAAAATATGCGTTTTTCTAGAAACATGGGAGTATGGTCATTTATGTCTTCAATCAAAAGCTCAGCCTGAAAAAATTGCAGAGGATTTTCCAATAACACCTGGAAATGCAATATACAGGGTTCACTGGTAGAACAAAGTGCCTCCCTGTCCAGTTTTTCATTCAAAAGCAAGTTGCCAGTCTCCAGTTCTAACCGCAAATAAGGCTGGTAGTCATCAAATATAACTCTGGCCCCCCGTGCAGCCAGATCACCCACATCCATATCTTTAATTATATTGGCTATAGAGGAGCCAGTCTCCATTTCTTCTGCCACAGAGTAACTCCAGGTCTCGGAAAGAACGGAGGACACTTCCAGGAAAATAAAGAAAACCAGCACTTGCCTTATATGCCGAGCAGGTCCTACTCCAGGCTCCATCATTCCTTAGATAAAATGCTTTCTGCAGTGTTGTCTCTGCTCAGTCTCTGGTAGCTAGAGAGTGGCTCCGCTCATCTGGACCTTTGGAATTTATAGATTTTTGATCCTTTATGGAAGGTCTTGTGGGTGTCCCACCTTTGTAGAAAGCCTGTGTGCTGTTTTATCCTGTGTTTTTGCTTCTGCTAGTTAAAGGAAACCCGAGCTGCCGTTAGGAAACATTGTCTCATCCTATCCTGCAGCGCCACCATGTGACTATGCAGGTCGATGGGTTTCAAAGTCAAGTACATTGGAGACAAAATATTAATTTCCATTTCTGGGTTGCAGTTTTTGTGATTATCCAATAAGTTACTATCTGACAGATCTGTGTTGATAAAATTGTTTAAGGTAGAATCTTTGTTTCAAACAGTTTATGTTCTTCCTTAAAGATAACTGTAAAACTAAAGATAGTTCAAAGAACTCACATGTCATTGATTTTACAAAAATGAGTAAGAGATTCTTAGGAAAACTGCAAATGGCAACCTATATATCTCTTCAAGGTATTATCAAATGATCTCAGAAAAGGCAGAATGGTGTGCTTACGCACTTGAAGTTGAGTCTGGTATGTGCAAATAGTTGTCTGGGGGAAGATGGACATTTTGGGCTAGGTAAATATTACCATTTTCTTAGGAATACTCATAGGAGACTTCCTTGGCTGTAGTAGAAATACTAAAAAATAAAGTTTGATGTCTCTGAATTCTGTCAACATAAAACTGTAAAACTTAACTTCACTATTTTGCACACTCAGGGCGTCTAACAGCATGGGTCTATGTGTTTTATTTATGTATCCCATGGTTTGCTCTGAAAATGTTATTAAGCATATACTTGACCAAGTAATACCCATAAGCATTGGGAATTGAATGATAACCATGAGGAAGCTGTTTCTGCCCTGAGACGGAGAGAAAGAGAATGGACCCTTAACAGGAAGCATCATGGCTACCTTGACGAGGAAGGTTTGTGCCAAAAGAAGATAATAGTTGAGGATCAGCTAACCAAACGTTGGAAGTGGAGAACAGGCCTTCCTGGAGAAAACATATTCTAAACTGATACATGTAAAATAAGTGGAAGTAATCCAAACAAAAATTATGGGAGGGTTGGAGGCATAGTTCAGTGGTATGTGAATCCCTGCTCTCAGGGAAAGGCAAAACACCACGGTGCAAATCTAAAATGAGAGGTGTGTTTTAAAAGAACCAAAATAAGATCATGGCAATGATACAGTGCAAGAAAAAATGGTGAAGGCTGAAATTGTAAAGGCAAGCAAACAGTGTTTAAGGCATGCCAGTGGAAATGTAAGAGGGTTACAGTGTTCTGAACAGAAAAGTCATATAGTCAAAGTTTTATTTTTTAAAAGATGGGTATGTTTCAGAGTTAAGAATAAACTAGAAAGGAATAATATAAAAACTGGACACAGGTGATAGCTGGTTGCAATAATAGAGATAGGAGATGACGCTAGCCTCAACTAAAAATATAATAATGGATTTTCACCAAAACTGTGGAATAATGTAGGATGAAGCCATAGACAAATCATACATTATTATAACAAGGAAATATTACTTTGTTTATAAAATTTGAAAACTAAACGATACTAGGGATATTAATCAATGGTTGTAAACTCATAAAGAAGAAAAAGAGGGATATACATGCAGCTGGAGGGGGATACGGTTGTAGTTTTTGGGAAGGAGAATTTTTAACTTAAGGACATCTTGGGTATTTAAGAGTTTAAACTGATCATGGAGCATGCCTGTAGCTACACATCTGATCTTCCATTATAAAAATAAACTGGGGAAATAAGAGAACTCCAGTGACAATGTTAAGATTTGCTGGGATAAAGTGAGGTCTTGAGACCCTTTAAGAAAAATAATAGAACACAACGTAAGGATGTTTGAAATTGTGTTTTCTGGGGATGTAGCTCAGTGGTAGAGTACTTCTCTTGCATGTACAAGGGACTTTTCTTTTTACTTGTACTCATTTCTGGAAGGTCCTGTCATGGGAAGAGAGTGAACAAAGGAACAAGGGAGAAAGGAGAGAGTACACAGCCATAAAAGACGACCATCTCCATGGTCATGGGTTGACTCTTCTAGAGTAGAAATGAATCTGGAGTCAGACATGATGGTACACTCTCAGAATTCCAGCACTCCAGAGGCTGAGGCATGGTCATCACCAGTTTGAACCCAGCCTGGGCCTCATAGTGTCACTTTGTCAGGAGAGGAAGAGACAATGTCATTTCAGATCAAAAACAGAGTCAAACTGCTAGATCCACATCTGTGGCAAGGTACGGGCCAATGAAAAGAAAGTGTACTCATATCCCTTCTTCCTGTGATCTCTAGTAACTTGAAACTAAAATGACATCAAGTTTGTTTTATTCTCTTTTTTGGTGACTAAACAAAAACTGGAGAAAAGGTTTTTCTTACTTCTTTTAGAAAATTGAAGTTCTCTTACTTTCCAATGTTTCTACTGAGAAAGACAAATCGGTTTGAACAGTGTAATTGTCATGTGTTGAAGTTAAATTTCTATTTCCTGCAATTTTTAAATTACAATTTCTCTTTGTCTTTGGTTTTCTAAGTTTTCACTATGATGTTTATAGACAAGAACATCTCTGTAATGTATTCTTTTAGATTTACAGCAACCTCTTGGATTTGTTTGCTGATGTTGTCATTAGCTCTAGATGTCCCCCAGTCTTGATTTCTTCAAATATTGTTCTGGTTAAAGTTTTCTCATTTCTCTTGCTGAGCAGTGGTGGTGCACACATTTAATTCCAGAACTTAGGAGGCAGAAGTAGGCAGATATTTGAGTTCGAGGCCAGCTTGGTCTACAGGGATACACACAGAAACCCTGTCATCAAAAATCAAAAACCACAAGCAAACCAAACCAAACCAAACCAAACCAAACCAAACCAAACCAAACCAAACCAAACCAAACCAAACCAAAATTCTCATCTCTCTTTTTGAATCTTTTTTTTAAAAAAAACCCAGTCCTGTATTTTTAACCACCTCCTCTTGTATTTTCATCATATTAACTTCCTAAGTTTCATAATGTATAAATTGTATTAAAACATCTTTAACATGTCTAAGTATTTTTTATCTTTTATTTTGTTTTAAAAACTTGATTTTTGGGCCACCACACAGTGTGCATGGGCAGAAGATACCCAGAGGCTCATCAACCCTTAGCCACTACTATAACATGCAAAGGTGTGATAGAGAGATGGGAGAGAAAGAGAATCGGAATGGTTCGAGCACTATGAAGACAGGTGGGACTGGACACCTGAGAGTGGAGGGGAACAGCCTGATGTGAGGAGCCTTCCCTGTCACCTGAGGCTATGGTGAAGTCCTGGCCCATGCTGCCACTGAGGGACATGTTCAGGTCTGTGGCTATGCAGCAGCAGGGATCTGTGTTGATGTTTGTGGTCTGTATCACCACCAAAAGCCATGCGGATATCTCTGGTCTTGGCTGCTTCCTGCAGCCATGTTGATATTCAAGGGCTGTGCAGAGCTGGCCTGGTCCCTCATTGGCTACAGCACTCTAGAGAGCAGACGCTCACACCTCATTCAGGCAGCACAGTAAAGCTGGTCCTGGTGGTGGGGACTCAGGCGAGCCTCTATGAGAAGAGTTGGCCTGGCCCCTTGCCTCTGCAGCACTCAGGAGATCAGGCCAGCACCTAGCCTGGGCAGCACAGTAGTGCTAGCCTTGGTGGTGAAGGTTTGGGTGAGCCAGTCCCAGGGCATGGGAACAGGAGAGTTGACCCCACCCCTTGCTGGTTGTGGCTTTAGGTGAACTAGCTGGGGCAGTGCTGGAGAGCTCACCCTGGTGGTATGGGTGCAGGAGAGCTATTGGGCTGACCAACTCACCTACCACCCATATCCAGGCTCATATCCAGTGCTTTGAGTTGGTTCACCCCCATTCATCTACCCCATCTATGAACTGCTGAAACTCTTGAAGGGGCAAGTCATGTGGATCCAAACTGCAGGGTCTTATGATACGGGGCAACAACAGGGTATCCAAGAAGAGTTCTAGTGAGGATCCAATATTGAGAGTGTAGCAGAAGCCTGAGGCTTTCTATGGCATACTGGAGCTTCTATAATGAGATTTTTAAAAATTATTTTAATTTTATTTTTCATTTTTTTCGAGAGGAGGTTGCCAAGGCAGAGGGAAGATGCAAAGGGCCAGGAAGATGAGTGGGATTGGGGTGCATAATGTGAAATTCACAAAGAATCAATAAAAAAATTAAATTTTTAAATTTTTGATTAATGTGATTTTCACTATGGAAGCTTAATTTTGTCCTTATCTAATGTGTCATGTTAATGTTGATGTGTCTGCGTGTCTATATGTACATGTGTCAGTGCAGGTGGTGGCAGAGGTCAGAGAAGGCGTCAGTTTCTCTGGAGCTAGAGTTACAGTTGAGCTGCCAGGCGCAGGGAGTGGGAATGGAATTCCCACTCTGAATGTCTGAGCCAATCTCTCTATCCCACCACCCTTCCATGTTATCTTAGCATTGTTTTGTTTCCTGGTGGCTCTCAATCATGGCTTCATGTTTCCTGGGTATGCAGTTGTCAAGAATATTAATAATGCAAAGCAATTGTGTAAGTCATCTATGTTTAGGGTATAATTTATTTTATAAAAGCCTACATTTGATTTTCTCTTGACAGACCTAAGATTAATGCCTGTCAGGGATAGCTGATTAAATTTAAGGATGAAAAGCAGGTTCACCACACAAGGTCTGATGTATTTCTAGTTTACTCTCCATGTGATTAATCAGAAATGCTTCTGTAAATGTCTCTGTTTGTTAGGGTTTGATCCCCAACATGTAAACCATTGTCACGAAGGTTTAGCTTTCCCAAGATTTTAAATGGTCCCAGAAAATTACACATATTGTAATTATACATTCTCTACATTTCAACATTAAATTTGAGCTGTCTTAATAGCTAATTGCTTCCAGTGAAAGCAGAGGGCAGCATAAATTACATTTAATTACAAAAATGTATCCGTGTACTAGTCCTATATCCACGCTGCTATTAATATATCTGTCTATAATCCTCCACTGAACTGCCCATCTACAGAGTGGAG